AAAAAAAAAAAAAAAAGATCAGAGAGTGTTACCTGTGTGTATCCTCACATGGTTTTTATAATTGGTTGCACTGGCAAATGCCCTCCCACATCCTGGCTCTGTGCAGTAGTAAGGTCTTTCTCCTGTGTGTGTCCTAACGTGCACTTTTCTGATATTTGATGTTGTAAAGGACCGACCGCAGCCTTCGAAGGGACACTTAAAGGGCCTTTCTCCTGAAAATATAAAGGGTAATACATTAAATGGTACAAAAATATACAGAAGACTGAAACCTCTTATCCTTCAATCCTCCCTAAGATCATGCTCAAGACTCTAGCCTTCTTGTGCTGAGCTTCACTTTCAAGCGTTTCTTTTTTGGGGGGAAACTGCATCTTTCACTCCAAACTTAAATTTACATAAGAAACCAGGAATGGTATTCAAAACTAATCACTGATTACATGGCTCTCCAAGACAGAATCATCCAGGTAGGCAAAAAATGAGCTATAAAAAGCAAGAAGAAAACATAGAAAATACACAAGAAAAATACAGTCAAGAACATGGATTCAATTAGAACACAGAGTTCCCTAAAAGCCTATCTCCTACTTGATTTATTCTATAATATCTTGAAGGAAAATAATTTTTGCTCTTTAAAAATATGGTGTTTTGCAGACAGGCACAGTGGCTCATGCCTATAATCCCAGCATTTTGAGAGGTCAAGACAGGCAGATCACAAGGTCAGGAGTTCCGAGACCATCCTGACCAACACGGTGAAACACTCTCTACTAATAATACAAAAATTAGCCGGGCATGGTGGTGCACATCTGTAATCCCAGCTACTCAGGAGGCTGAGGCAGAAGAATCGCCTGAACCCAGGAGAAGGAGGTTGCAGTGAGCTGACATTGCACTATGGCACTCCAACGTGGGCAACAGAGTGAGACTCCATCTCCAAAACAACAACAACAACAAAAAATGGTGTTTTGACCAGCCTGGCCAACATGGTGAAACCCTGTCTCTACTAAAAATACAAAAAATTAGCCGGGCATGGTGGTACACACCTATAATCCCAGCTACTTGGGAGGTTGAGGCAGGAGAACTGCTTGAACCTGGGAGGCGGAGGTTGCAGCGAGCCAAGATCGTGCCACTGCACTCCAACCTGCATGACAGAATGAGACTCCATCTTAAGGAAAAAAAATGGTGTTTTAACTAATATTCAGCAAGATAATGCCTAACATTAACTATATTAGGAAATAATAGGTTTAACAACTACTTCTTACTGAACCAAAAGAAAAAAAAAAAAAGAAAATCTAGGGCCTAGCATACAATATATGTCAAAAATACCTGCTGGACATCTCCTCCTGTCATAATCTAAGTTTATGAAAATGTCTGGTCAGGTACAGTAGTGCATGCCTGTATTCCCAGCACGTTGAGAGGTAAGGCAAGTGGATCACTTGAGCCCAGCAGTTCAAAACCAGCCTGGGCAATATGGCAAAACCCTAGCTCTACAAAAAATTAGCCAGGAATGGTGGTGCACACTGGTAGTCCCAGCTATTCCAGAGGGTGAGATGGGGGGTTAGGGGGGATCACCTGAGCCCAAGAAGTTGAGGCCGTAGTGAGCCGTGATTGTGCCATTGTACACCAGCCTGGGCATCGAAGTAAGACACTGTCTCAAAAAAACAACAACGACAACAACAAAAAACTGCTTTAACAATTATGTTCCTTTCCTTCATATTTGCTTTATACAATCTTGGAACATGAAAGGTCTTTAAACTGTCAAGCAAGAAGTAGCCTTTGCTTTTAATTCCCATGTACCCTTTTCTAGGGTGAGCTCAAATTACGCAAACAACTTCTGAGGAAGGAAAAAAAAACTCTCTCTATGTAGACAGATACAGATATTTATCCATATATAGTAAGTTTGTTAAATTTTTTGACACGGAGCCTCACTATGTTGCTCAGGCTGGAATGCAGTGGCTCTTCACAGGCACCATGGTTACACACTGCAGCCTCGAACTCCTGCCCTCAAGCAATCCTCCCACCCCAGCCTCCTGGGTAGCTAGGACCACAGGCATATGCCACCACACCTGACTAGTTTATTTTTCTTTTTGTCAAATGAAATTATGATTTCCCTATTGGTGGAACCATTCCAAAAGATTTCTTCCTGTTAAGTATGAAATCATTTTAAAAGGAGCAGGAATCTTTGATCCTATCTTTAGTAAGTTTTATTTACTACGTCAGCCTAAGGAGAACAAAGAGTTTATCTTGGGCAAGTCTCTTCTCTTGTATCTGGATGACCTCTAAAGTATTCCCAGCTCTGACATGCTATGATAGGGAATCAACTCTTCTAGGATAATTTTCACTGTGTTAATACTCTGATTCTGTAACATTATGTTTTGTTTTTGCACTGAAATCTTCTGTGTTTGTTACAGAAGTCCCTATGCTCCTTACTCAATCCAACACTATACCAATGAAAAATCATGATTTTAAAGCTGTTATATGAACATGTGGTTTGACAAATGAATACTACAAAAGAAATCACAATCCTGACATTTTATTTATTTATTTGTTTGTTTATTTATTTATTTATTTATTTTTCTTGAGACGGAGTTTTGCT